AACTGCAGCAACTTAGTTCTTAAGACAACTGAAGATTCTACCGAAATTGAAACATGAACTTGACACTTTTTCCCCCATGCTTTCTACTGAATCACTGAATCCTAAAAATGGGATTTCCATTCACTGTAACTATGCGAAGCTAGAAGAGTTAATGTGTGATTTTGAAAACAATACAGTCCGATTTGTTTTAGGAATACCTGGTCCTGCATAGTAATCAAAAGTATTTCAAGAAAAATTGAAGAGTCACCCTTTCTTCATAACTTTACTCAGTTTGATCCATAGAAGCCCTTCAATAAAACTCAAATACCACTAGAACGTAAGCATTACTAATGCCATGACATGTAGCACTAACAAAAAGTCCCACAAGAAAAAGGCAACATGAACAAATGCACTTTGCTTCATAACAGTGACTAATATTGAAGGATATAGGCCTTTATTTCATGCAGCTTTTATGTAGCTCTAGTACCTCATTTGCAAAGGCCAAAGGAGATTAGGTTGTGTTTTAAATTTGTGCTAGAAAGCTGGTAAGTTACTCCTCAGTGCAGAAACTTGCACAAACTAGCTCTACAACAGATTGTCAGAAGGGCAGCTGCCACTCAAAAGGTACAGGAAGTTCCATATATTAAAAGCCACGTCAGATTAAGAGAAAGGCCCTCCCAAGAAGTAGAGCTCTGCTGACTTGTCATTTGGATTTCTAAATAAACAAGAACCACAACACTAAAAACAAAGGATGAACGCAATATTCACAACTGTTGTGCAGAGACAACACACAAACCAGTAACTATCTGCACTGGGTTTGTAAATACATGCAGAACCAATACATACCTCCAGATAGTTGGCTCAGGCATTCCAGGATCTGCACCTCTTTTAAAACCTGAAGTGAAACATACATTACATACATATATATAAAAATATGTATGTGCAAACTCCTACTTAAATCACTATATAATTATTCCAGCCCATTAAATTGCAATAAGAAAAAACTACTTAATAGATGATTCATGAAGCTGTGCACTAACATGAATAAAAACTGTACATTCTTATCAGGGTTAGAAAGCAGAGAAAATAAACACAAGTGTACTTACCTGTGAGATCAAGGAATTTATCTACCCTGAAGAGCAAGACACAGCTTTACACACACAGATTTTAGATGATGTTCAGAAGGCAGCCAAGGCCCTACCAACAGAAATGCCTATACCTGGTATAAACGAGCACCTTGAGGCCTAACAGGCAACATTCTGCAATGACATCTGATGCAGAACTTAAAGGCAGTTTTTCAGTAACAATTCACTCAATTTAGGATGACACAATTCTAAATGTTAAATCAATGAAACCTCCAATCTTCTACTTTGACTGGCATTTTTTTGAAAAGCTACATAGTACTAAAGCTTGCAAACAAACAAGATGTTTGTCAATCCACTAACATCCAGGAAAATGAAAGTTAATTACAAAGAGTTTGCCCCAGGCTAATGACTCAAATACCAACTGACTAAAGTAAACAAACGCTGGAGAAGCAACTAAGGGTTAATATATGAAGTATATTTGCTCCCTGGACTGTAAATTAAAAATCTTGAAGGAGAATCACACAATTCAGGCACTGTTCAACACAATCCCTCCTACATGGGCTATCTAGAAGTGGATAATTTATGAAAAGTATATTATTTTCCTTATTTACACAAAATAAATAATTTATGTTACCTTGCCCAAAACACAGGCCACAAAGGTTAATGGGAAAACTTCCATTAACTTCACAGGCACAGGAAAAGCTCTCTGAAGACAACCCTGCATGATTTGAGACTATCAAATACCCCGATACAAGTTGTTTGGTTGCCATACTGTCCAGCAACACAGCTTTAAAATTCATAAAGTTGTATTACAAGTCACACTCTGTGTGTGTGTGAATGTTTCTGGCTCCTTTCCCCCCACCCCCATTATTTTTAAATAAGCAAACCAGGTTTAACAAAACTACACTGATCTAATTTATCAACTTAAAACCTGGGCAGTCACTTCAAAGCAAGTTTAAAAAAATACAACAAAAAACCCCCAATGACCTATAATTGCACATTCACGTACCAGGCTCCCTTGTACAGCCCTGGAGCATCCCATCCTGAGCTAGAAAGCCTTTCAGAGGAAATTAAAAGCTCAGATTTGCTGAACACTTCCTTGCCTACGTTTAGTTTAGCATGTATTTCTTCTACACAGGGATCAATAAAAAAACTGCCCTTCAATCAGCGACACTAACTACTGTGTAGCCTCTTGCCTTTCCACTGTGTCACACCTTCCCTCCCAGATTCAAAGGTAATCCCAGCATAGAAGAGGTTCTTTCAATCCTTTAGGCTTCGAATGCATGCCACCTCCAAATGTCTATGGCAAGCAAAGCTAGCATCTACACATCCCCTTCCCATCTGCTTATACTTAATGTTCTTTCATTACTGCAGGCAAATTTATAAGGCAGCAATGCAGACATGGAACGGCACACTTATTTTCTGGAGGTATGAACCCTAACTACTACAACTTGAGTTTCTCACTGCTACATAGCAAAATTGTACTAGGCAGCCTAGTACAACTGTAAATACAGTAAGATGGCTTTATATAACTTGAAGTTTATACAGTAAGTATTAAGTATTTAATGTCCTCTGATGTCACTCAGAACAAAGAGCATCTTTCCCATGTCCACAGATACTGTCTTGAAAGTAAAATCAAAACAAAACTTCAGCAACAGCAAAATCAGGTCACAAAACACTGCTGAAATTCCCACCCAATACTTATAAATTTAAATAAATTATAAACTAAAAATGGAAATGCAATTAAAGTTTAAACCTAATAATGCCAATTAGTTTTTTTCCATAGTTTTTGAAGTGACTTTCTTGTAGTTTTTGTTAAAGCACTTCTGCAACAGTTGAAGAGACCAACTTTTCCCTGATTGTTATCTATGAACAATTAAAGCCCTTCAAACTGGACACTGCATTCCCCTCAATTAAGCAAAACAACCTATCAGATTTGACTGTAAATAAATTAAGTTCCCGGCTCTCCTTCATGTTTGTGTGCTCCATGCAGAGATGCCTGCCTGGTTTAGCTACTTTTCCCAAAAGGCCCAACTGAGTTTGGGCAGAAAGTAAGCCAGATGAATTGCAGGGATCAGCCTTTCTGGGGTGCCCTGTAATAAAAGAAGTGAACAAAAGTGTCAGGCCTATGGCACATTGCCTATCTTAAGTGGGTCAGGCTCTTTAATAAGGACAGCTGATGGCACAGAGCCCTAACTCAGCAGGAGAACTACCATGTGGTAGTGACACCTGCCCAGTCCCATGACAGGAGCAAGTGAAATACATCCTGGGCACCAGGCACGACATCAAGGCGTCCCCTGAACGTTCCACTGCAATTTGGAAACAGGAGTCCTATTTTGGGTGGGAGAGAGACCGTAACCTGTACATTATGCTGGAAATTCAACCTTAGCCAGGGGCTGGCAACCCCCTCAGTGCCACAAATCAGCACTCCCATCACTTGACAGATTTTTCCTCCCTGAGCACGGAACACAGCCTCGCCTACTGAAGCAGCTGGTCACTGACACAGCTTAAATCACAGCTCCGTCTGCTGTTTGGCCGCTTGGGTACCTGCTCTGCCTGCTCCCCTGAGGGGCCCTCCCATCACTGGACACACACAGATCAGAAACAGCCTCCAGGGAGGAAAAGGAGCAGAAAACTCTTTATTACAGAATCACAGACCTGTTAGGGTTGGAAGAGATCTCTGGTGATCATTTAGTTCAACCTCCCTGCCAAGGTAGGGTCACCTAGCGCTCATTACACAGGAATGTGTTCAGGTGGGTTTTGAATGTCTCCAGAGAAGGAGACTCCATGACCTCCCTGCACAGCCTGTTCCAGTGCTCTGCCACCCTCAACGTACAAAAGTTCCTCCCTCATGATGAGGTGAAATTTCTTGCATTTTCGTTTATGGCCATTGCTCCTTGTCCTGTCACTGGGCACCACTGGAAGGAGTTTGGCACCGTCTCTTGGCATCTCCCTTTGAGATATTTATATGCATTAATGAGATTCCCTCTCGGTCTTCTCTTGTCTAGACTAAACAGGCCCAGCTCCTGCAGCCTCTCCTCGTAAGAGAGACCAGACTCCTCATCATTTTCGTAAACCCTCTGCTGGACCCTCTCCAGTAGGTCCTTGTCTTTCCTGTACTAAGGAGCCCAGAACTCCAGATGTGGCCTCACTGGGGCCGAGTAGAGGGAGAGGATCACCTCCCTCGACCCGCTGGCCACACTCTTCTTCTTTATAAGGAAAGTTAAAAAAAGAAACCCACAACAAAACCACCACCCAACACGAAGCCTCGCTGCCCCGCAGCTCTGCCAAGGGCAACCCCGGCCCTGCCCCTCTGCACATGCGCGGCATGGCCGCGGGCCCGGGCAGCGGGGTCTGCCCCGTCGGGCCCTTCCTCGCCCCCGCCGCCCGCCGGCGGCGGCAGCGCCCGGACGGGCCGGGGGGCGGAGAGCGGCGAGCGGAGCCACTCAGCTCCAGCAGCCCGCCCTGGCTCCGGCCCCACTCCGGTCATTGGCCGCCGAGCGCCCCCCGCGCGGCCCCCGGGCGCGGGCCTCCCCGCCCGCCCGGCACTGACCGAGGTAGAGCACGCAGCGGGATGAAGCCCCAGCGGATGGCGAACTGGCCGGCCCCTTGAAGAGCTGCTGTAAACCGCTGCTTGGCTCCTTGCTAGCTTCGGCATCCCGGCGGCGGGGCAAGAGGGGGGAGGAAGAGGAGGACTTCAGCCCGAATCCGTAACGGCGCCGTGCGCTGGGGGACACTGGCGGGGCTGGCGGGGGGGGACCCGGACGGCGGGGGACCAAAGCATCGGCGCTGCACCGAGGAAGGGCGAGGAAATGGCGGCCGGGGGCTGCTTGCGCCGCCGGCTGGGTCCCGCCGCGCGTTGTCATTGCCACAGGCAGAGGAGGGATTGGGGTCGGGGGTGGCCCACCAGGGTCGGGCGGCTGGGAGGGGGGTCTACAAACGCTGTGGGTCTTCTTCGTCTGCCTTAGGTCCTGCAGGACTCATGTTTGTGTTCCTTCCTCGCAGCTCTCGAGGTGTACGCGCGCGCCGCCTCTGGAGGGTGGGAAGTGCCTTTGGTAAGTGAAAGGTACAGGTGAAGTGATGAGAAAAGTATTTCTGGGTGAAACTGGAAATGCCTCTCCATGAAGCTCTCCATGAAGCTGTGTCAAGCAGAGGTTTAAGTTGGATATTAGGGAAAGATTCTTCACGCAGAGGGTGGTTGGGTGCTGGCACAGGCTCCCTAGGGAAGTGGTCACAGCACCAAGCCTGACAAGAGTTTAAGAAGTGTTTGGACAATATTCTCTGGCACATGGTGTCCCATGGTGACTCTTGGTGACCCATGCAGGGCCAGGAGTTGGATTTCGATGATCCTTATTGGTTCCTTCCGGCTCTGGGTGTTTTGTGATCTTTGATACCAGGCTGCACAATGTGTTCAGTCCATGAACAAGAGTTCAGGGAATGAAAGCTTGACTAGAAATATAGGGAGAGACCTAATATCTGAAAACTGCGTGGTAGAGCACGTTGGCCTTGTCCTTACAACTCACAGCCTGTATAAGCACTGAGGCACTTTCTTTTTTAACAGATAAATGAGTAGTCTCTGCCGAACACGTGTAGTGCAAGTGGCACATTCATTTGTCAGTAATGGCTTGTCATACTCAAAACAGAACTCAAACTATTGAACCTGCTTTTCTGAGTCTTGCAAAGGAAGAGAAGTGGTTGCTGCAGAAACCTATTTTCCAGCAGTTTGTATTAAATTGGTTTTTCTGTGTAGGTGAGGCCAAGTAAGATCAGTTTCCACACTGTGGTTACTGTTACAGCTTGTTCTTTCCAAACATACAAAACCAACTGTTCATTACAGCCCACAGCTTGTTAACAGTCTCTTACAAAATAGTACAATAAAATGTCACCCACTGTAGTGGAATTAAATTTGAAAGGTATTTTTCCTTAAACTTCCTGTAGTTTTAGTGTAAGTGGGATTCAGAAGGTCAGATGTACTAATCAGCTGATCCAAAGGGTTAAAAAGCTCTGTCTTCTTTGAGAATTGGTTTAACTGTGTCACATGTGACACCGTATAATCTTATTGTGGATGTTCTTGAGAAAGGGTGTTCACCAAAGTGTGCCACATGTGCCAGCTCTTTCTCTTCTTCGCTTCGTGCATTAAGTCAAGGAATAATTTTCAGAGCACAGAAACTTAGTAGCACTCATTTCTCATGTCTGCCAATTTGAATGTTAGACTAAAAGCTTGTAGGTTATTTCCTTGATTTACCCGTAGAAGCCAGGAAATGAATAGCAAGAAAGTTAATATTTCTTTGCCAGTTTTCTTGCAAACAAAATCACTGCTGTGGCCTATAAGAGCACAAGGGGGTGTGTTTGGTATGCAAATAAACCAGTGTTGGTTCTTTATAGCTACCGGTTTAGATTTACGTGGTTTTACGTACTGAGGCTGTGAAAGAATATCTGTAAACTAAGACAAGTGACTGGAGAACAGCACTTTTTCCATCATAACACACATCCATAGTCTCATACTGTCCAAAGTATCATATTTGTAGTAAAAACACCCAACCAACCAACCAACCAACCAAAACCACAAAACCTCCACAGCAAAACAAAAAACTGCAGAGCGTGCAAAGAGTAAATAGTTGTACTGACTCCAGAAATTTTCCATGCCTTTTTTTGGCTCCTGTGGCACCTAGGATGCTAGAGGGTCGAAGAGCTTGGCAGTCCTTTGATGAAGTATTGACTCAGCCAAAGGGGGAAGAGAGCAGCAGTCATCCTTCCTGCAAGTTCGTGAGACAGTGTTATTCAAATAATTGAAATAATGAAAATTAACCCTTGAAACAAAGATTCCTATGATGGGGCATGAAAAAATTAGCTGTTTTGAAGGGGTAAGTAATACCCAAAGAAATGGATACCGTAAGAAATTGATGGAGGAGGCTTTGCCCAGAGAAGACAGAAGTAAGATGACGTAGGTGTGCTGTGGGTATTACTCCATGTAATTGTAGTTTATTGTGGTAACCCTTTCATGAAGGATTTTGATTTTATTTGAAATTTTTTTTATGGCTGTTAATGAAGACAAAACCACTTGGAATGGTATATCTGTTAAATAAGAACAAGAGCCCCAATTGCTGGAATGAAAAAGAAAATTAGTAATACCATATGTGTTGAAAGATTTTTGTTACAAAAAATCTCTTTGAATTTCTTTTAGCCACGTAGTTTCATGTGATCAGCAATAACAATAAAATCAGAAATAAAATTGCAGAGGTTTTAACAGGGACAACAAAAATATGAATGCCTGCTGTTTTACTAACTCGATTAGCAGTAGTTCCACAAGTGCTGTGTTTTCACAGCAAATAAATACCACTAACACACATTGTAAAATGGCCAAATATTTCCATTTTTATGGGTAAATTAGAGAACTGAGATTCTTGGAGACATGACTGAATAACTCTTAGTGTCTGTCTCAGGATTGGGGAAGTAATGTCACTCGGTCAGATGGCTGTAACATGTCGTTTTGGTTTTGAGTGCAAAGGGTACCTTTCAGGTTAAAGAATTTCAGACCTCTAAAGCTTTGTCTCAATGCACCAGAAAGTAAAGCCATGCAACAGTACGTGCAACTCTGAAGGCTGATGAAGGAGACAAAGTGCATTGAAGTCTGTCAAAAATCACTGTAAACTCGACATAGGAAATCCCTGCAAACTTCCATTATGTGCTTACCACTCTCACTTCTGAGATTTTTCCCTTCACTTTACTGACAAGAAACTGCATTAAATTCATCTTCTTGGGATGAAAGTTTGAGTTTGACTCTGTTTAGGAGGAGCTTAGATTTCAAAGACGCTACGGTAGATATTTCATACTTGAGGATTACACCATAAATCAGTATAAATAACACAAGAACATAAGGAAGAGGTCATTAATGGATTTCCATTGCAGGCTGAATCTTTACCATGTCAATAAAAATGGTAGCATATTATGACTAGACATTCTGTTTCACTTCATTATTATAATTAGGCTCTCTATTTTTATTTTCCCCACTAATGATTTTCCTTCTATTCAATTTTAATATTCCTATTTATTTAGTCTAATAAATCCCAGCTCCTCTGCAGAACCACTGGTCTGGGAAATGTTCCTTGTCATTTCACAAAGGCAAGAGGACATATTTTCAAAATCTGCTTGGAATGCAGAGCTGTATTGCATATAAAAATTTGTCCAAATTTGAATCTTTTCTACATGAATTGCTGTATGATACTTGTTGGATGTACCCTGGTCACTGTCTGATATGGCATATTTCCAAGAAAAGTGATATTGTCAGATGCTGTGTTGGTTTTGGCAGGGGTAGAGTTAATTTTCTTCACCGTGGCTGGTATGGGGTGGTGTTTTGGATCTGTGCTGAACACAGGGTTGATAACAGAGATGTTTTTGGTTTTGCTGGGCAGTGCTTACACAGAGCCAAGGCCTTTTCTGCTTTTTGTACTGCCCCGCTGGCAAGAAAGTTGGGGGTGCATGGCAGGTTGGGAGGAGACAGCCGAGACAGGTGACCTGAACTGACTGAAGAGATATTCCATACTATGGAATCGTGCTCAGTATATAAAGTAGAAGGAAGAAGAAGGAAAGGGGGCACATTTGGAGTGATGAGATTTGTCTTCCCAAGTCATCGTTACCCGTAACAGGGCCCTGCTCTCCTGGAGATGGCTGAACACCTGCCTGACCATGGGAAGCAGTGAATTTATTCCTTGTTTTCCTTTGCTTGTGTGCAGAGCTTTTGCCTTCCCTATTAAACTGTCTTTATCTCAACCCATGAGTTTTCAAGCTTTTACCTTCCAATTCTCTCCCCAGTCCTGCTGGTGGGGGAGTGAGCGAGCAGCTGTGTGGGGCTTGGCTGCTGGCTAGGGTGAAACCACAACAGATGGTTATCTAGAACATTAGTAGAATTATCAGAGTGATAGGAACAAAAGGGAAAGTGTAGTGTGTTTGTATATTCAATACAGTAACTGTACAATTTATTTATTTAAAAATAAACCAAAACTGAGTGGAGTAGAGTTACAATCATTACTTTTCATTACAGCTTCCGAGGCCAGGGAAGAAGGAACAGCAATCTGAGGTGAGACAGCAATCAAAGAACCTCATCCAGTGCTTTTAGAGACCTCTGACAAGAACTGTTGATGTGCTTAAAAATTGAATATTTCCTGCTGCAAAACTTTACTGTTGTTTGAAGCGTGGCTTTCCCATTCTCCCCATCTCCATTTAATAATGAAAATTGTGTTACACTTAAAGATACTGCTATCTTTTACCATATCTAAAAACACCACAGTTCTTAAGTGCATGTTTTTATGATTGCACTACTTGGCCAAGGATGAAAACAATAATCTGATTCTTTACATGCTTGATACGCAAAAATGATGAATGAAAGGATTTTCTGAGGCCAAAACGAATATATATATTTACTCATTCTCTGTTTTTAAATTAAGCTCTTGTTTTAGCATCTGAACAGTGAACATTTCAGTAACTCTAGGAGGATTTTCCTCTAAAGATATTTGAATGTAAACCTTTTCTTTGTCAACAGATCTCAAGTAGATTTTTGTTGCTTAAGAATATGTTGTTTCAACAGGACACATCCATAAAGATTTCAAAGGACTTAAAAATGTTTATTTTAGGCAAATTTTTACTATGATTGAAACAAGATGAGGAAAACAATGAATATATTCTGATTTTCAAAACAGTCTTTGCTTTGTATACTTGCCTTTGTACAAATTCTGACCTTAGTGATACTTGCCTTTGTACAAATTCTGACCTTAGTGAATTGTATTATGGTGAAACAACCATAAAACTGAGAATGTAAGTCTTTGCAATCAGTTGGCAGCATTGCACATGAAAATGAAATATTTCTCTCTGATATAGAACATAGAATTTGAGATTTGAAAAATAGTAATTATAAGTTTGTAGTCTGCTTTCTCTCTTCTGTGAATGGTGTAATAGTCTTTCTTAACATCCAACTACAAAAAAATAAATATGCTGCTGAAACAACTTTTTCTGACAATGAAGTATTTGAAAATGCAACTGAATGATGCACAGCATTTGCTTTACTGATTTACAGTAATGCTTTTGGATGCACTCTTTCAGATTTTACAAGATAAATGCAACAGCAAGAAGTTACTAACAACGTTGGTTATAAGCAAAGAGAAAACAGGTAGTAAAGCAAAAAGAAGAACCTCAAAGTTGTAATACGCCAGGTAGATGTGAAACATGTCTATGTGTTTCCTGCCAAAATGTTTGTTCTGGCTTTTGTGTTAAGTCACTGTTAAATTATATAGTGTATCAGTTACTGTGTATATCCCTGAGTATCCTTTTTTGTTGTTACCTCCAAAACAAGAAGGGTGTTTGTTAAAATTGAGATTTTTTTAAAGTATAAATTAAAATTTAATTTAGCATGTGTTTAATTTAAATAGAATTTAAAGCACAGCATAGTCTAGGTTTTAGTGTTGTCATTATAATAGTTTTTAACAACTTGTAATAAAAATTATAGAGTTCAGAGCTTAATAGGAAATGTAAAAATATCTGAATTTTCAGATCTTCAATAAGATTTGCCAGTCAATGAAGTAAATCTGTCATGTATATGTACAAATGGAATAACTCATAGTATATTTAAATGTTGAATGAATTAGTTAGGTAAAGTGAATGTAGGTATTAATTTATCTTCATTGTTCACTTTGTGTGAATTCACTTCAGAAACTTAAGGACAGAGCATTTGTCATATTCCTAATTCAGCATGGCCTAACCATGACCAACAAGGTGAGAGGCAGTTCACACCTCCTCTGGCCAAGCTCCATCAGTGTGCTGCATGAGCTGCCTACTCAAGGTGACACTCCAGCAAAAGCTGCCATTCAGAACTTGGAAACCCAACCAATATGGATAAAAGTATCAGCAGTAATGTGTGTCTTTAGTTTTTGCATTTCAGTAGTTCAGATTTCACTGAAAATTCTTTGGGATCTTCAGCACATGGAAGATTAGAATCAGTAATTTAGTATTATAATGAAGACTAATTAAGGCCTTTCCAAGATACCAGAAGGTGATCAAGGAAAGCTCTCTTCTTCCTTTGCAAGTCTAGTCTGGTGCTATCAGATTAAATGAAGTGCAACTCACGGTTAATGAAGTTTTTGCTATTCTATTAAAATAAAATTTAGTCTCTTAAAATGCTTCCCTTCCATACACAGTTTCTGTCCGTATTTTGTCTATTTTAGCATAATCATAACCCATATTTAGCCCAGAAAAATGTTTTTAGATTTTACTAATTTCAAAACATTGTCAAATAGACACACAAGTGTATCTTCTCTATGTATTGACAGCCTCATTCACACGCCTACAAGTTCATCTAAGACTCTTTCCACTTATGCATAGAAAACAAATGACCTTTCAGGGAAATACCTATCAGTTTTAATCAATGCTGCTGCTTTTCAGTTAGGATTATTAAAAATCTCAAACATTAATCTCCTGTAAGTGCAGAATGAGTCATTTTAGATACTGGTTTCTTTGGAGTTCGGTTGATTTGTAGGAGTACATACTGGAGTGATTAATGAGATTTCAGTAGCTTTTTGCATAGCTTCCTACCTAAAGCAAATAAAATAAAATAAAAGTTAACAAACAAACAAAAACCCCAAACCAGCAAGGGCAAATTAGTTGTGTGCCTTTCACTACTTCCTGTAAAATCTTACACTGACTCCTAAAGGTTTCATTTTGCATGAAAGGTATTTAAGCAAGAGTTTTAGCAGATGAAAAAGACATTCCAAGAACTTGTGAATGTTCCTTAGGTTCTGCCTTATAAAGTCTGTTAGGTGCACTTGGCACAGGCTGTGAGTCTGACCCTGATTTCCAAGCACGTGAACGGCCAAAACAAAATGCCTTTTCTGTAATACTTTTTTTCCCTTTTTCTAAAAGTGTATATTAGGCACACATCTGAAGAAACAATATTTTACTCCTTTATTTTAAGTTTAGGTAGCAGTCACAAGAGATTAGATGCTGTTAAGTGTAATGAAGCATGAAGATTACAAGATAAATGAACCTGAGGCTTTTCAGCTCGATAGGATCATTCAGCACATAATGATACAGATTTTGTATTTCAGACACAAATGTCACCTTGGGGTTGAAATCATGCTAGATGAATCTGTGCGAGTAAGTATAACTAAGATAGTTCCCCACACCCCAATTACCTTCCTATTTTAAATATAGAAAGGAAAATGAGTCCCCCTGAATTGAGAGATGAGTTATTTGTGTGTAGTATTTGTGATGGCAAATTCTTTCTAAAATAAACACAGTAATAAAAATTCTTCTTCTTTCCTTTCATATTTTAAGGGGACAGGCTGCTTCCAGTGACAGAGTATTAGACTTAGACTGATGCTGGTCTCTTAGGGGATTAGTATTTGACTAGTACATACAGCACTATATATTAAAGTCATTAATTGTATCATAGCAAAATATTTTTCTGCAACTTTTCTGTTAAATGTCTTTAAAGCCACATGCAGAATGTTACTTTCCATGTTGTATATTAGTTCCAGCAACTCTAATATGAAGGATATGCTGGTGGGCTTTTGAAAACCTGAAGGACGTGAATCTCCAGGGAGCCTAGATGGGACTTTAAAAAACAAAATTAAAAATAATTTAACTACTATTAAAAAGTATAAAAAATTACTATCAACCTCTATTAATTTAGTTCTTCTACTTCATTTCAGAAAGACACCTTTGATCCAAAATGTATTAGCAGTGTTCTGTTAAAGCCAGCAGAGGGCAGACTTGAATTGGAAACTTTTTGCTACTTCAGTTACTTGAACGTAAAATATCAGATAGTCCCTTGAGCTCAAAGCTGATCACAGTCTCATTGCTTCTCTACTACTCTAATTACACTTGTGCTGGATAAAAGCTTCTTTGCAGTTGCTGTTTGACAAAATGAGTGTTTTGCGAATGTTTAAATAAAGATGCTAATATGAGAGTGAATCAGTCAGTGGATTAGCAGCTGTGTTTTACTCACCAGGGATAATTCACACTGCTTAATCATTAACCCATGTATATCTTTAAATGATTTTTAAAAGCTAGTGAATATCAATATCCTCATTTTGTAGATGAAGAAACTGAGGAATAGAGGTTTGCAGGTTACCCATCTGAGTGACTTACAGAAACAAGAACAAAATCCAGATTTCTGATCCAGCACTTTGCACACATAAACTATGACATTTCTAACTCTTGCAAACATTATAGAAATGATTGCTAGCAGCCCAAATCGCCGAGACTGAGGAGCTTACACCGATGAAATAGCAGACAACTGACAGCCAGGTTGTAGATCTTAAGAAAAATATTCTCCCCAAGATGTGTGTCGATCAGATCAGATGGCTAAAATCAGTTTTAAGAATAGTATTTTATTATTAAAACGAGTACTCTGCATTTTTAGATATCTTTGTCATTCACTAAGTTAAGTTGTAGTCTTTCAAAAACCTTTATGATAGCCTGTTACTGCCTCTTTAACTCTATGTTCAACATTTTTAAGGTTTGTGTGAAGGTTTGTAAGAATAAATTACAAAGGAGTCCACTTAAGTTTCTTGGTGATTTCTCCTTGTACCTTGTGTAATTTTACACTTCACAAAGAGCTGACACCTCCTAATAGTCATCATTTTCCATAATTCACAGAAGCCTGAATATGCAGTTATCTCAAAAGGGAAAAGATTAATTTGCTTTTCTGCAGAACATAAACTGTCCTCAAAATAACAACTAATTTAAGGCATTTGTTTACAGACTTGTTTTATAGTCAACCACTGGATCCCTTAGCTTAAGAAGGAAGAAAGATAATGATTCAATTAACTAAAACTGCTGCTTTCAAAAATGTGTTTTCCAGTGTGAAACTTATTTTATTCATCCCTAATTATACATTGCTGAAAACTGTTAACTGTTATTAAGGAGAAATAAGTCTGAGGTTTTGGGAGCATGGCAGGTTTTTCCTGCTGTAAGCTCCACAATGATCTTTTCCTATACTAATCCTAGATGGTGTATATTTTCCTTTGTTTCTACCCAACTTTCCTTTTTATTTGTAATGTACGTGTGACATATTCAAAAAATTAGTGCCTTAAGAGCAGTTAAGATATTACTACCTTAAAAACACATCATTGTTACATACAGTTGTATTTGTTTTGCTGAGTAGGTTCCAGCTCAGTTACAGAAGAAGTTACAGATAATGCAAAAAACCTGTCTTAGAACAGCAGCTGTTGCTATAGGCAGATTGGCCAAAAGCCTGTCCCTATATTTCTTTACATGGAAACAAAGGGATAGATGTATGTATTGTCTGAGTAGAGAACATGATGATGTTGTGTGCCTGTGACAAAAAATACAATAGTATTTTTTTGGAAAAGTATACTTACTTATGGATTAAAAAAAATTGGAATATGCCATGTATTAAGCTTGAATTTGATCAAGATCAGTTGTTCTGGTAATGTTCCTTCAGAGATGAGAGTTTTAGTGACAGGGTAAAGATACTTCTACATCTGTGGAATTTAAAGCCTGCTACTGTCAAGTTGCCAGGACCCTTAAATGTGTGCTGAAGTGTCCTTCTCTCTTTTAGTAAATCAAAAATGTTTATACTTACTGTCACAAGTAGTAGAAGAATACCAACAATTGCTTCTGTGTTTAGAATTCTGTGGAGTCTGCTACCTGTGAGCAGACTCTGCTTAAATTCTCTGAAACTACTAATTGCTAACCTCATTCTTGACATACTTCAGCCTCCAACAGCCTGCTGAAACTTCTGTTACACCTTCTGGGAATCTATCTATAGTAATTTCTTTCTCTCCCCACATGGCTCCAAGCCAGAAATATATCCATTTGCACAAATGCTTCTTAACCTTGCTCACGGTTTTTTAATTTTTTTTTCTTTCTGCTTCTCTGTTTGCCGGATGCTTTTCTAGTAAATTCAGTATTTGCCATGTTTGCTGTGTAATGGACTGGTGGTTACAATGCATTTTCTAAACTACTGTTTGTTTCAGTTTTAGTGCACTGAATAAAATTATTTCTCTGTTGTCATTTTATGGGCATCTTGCTGTAACATAGTCCAGGCTGGATGGAGCTCTGAGCAACCTTGTCTAATGAAAAGTGTCCCTCCTCATGGAATGAGATCATCTTTAAGATCTCTTCCAACCCAGGCCATTCTATGACTCTGTGTACACGTGTCTAGACACACATTATATGTATATAAACTTATACAGTATGGAACTGTAGGTTTATCAGAATTAACTCAGAATTGATTATCAGATTTATCAGAATTGATAGCCAGCTTGGCTATCAATACCAACACCATTACTGAGGATACATGTATAGACACATAGAGCAAACCTCAGCTGCAGGGGGGAAGTTCTCAGTGTTTCAGCCTAGAACTACCTAGGCAAATATTTGACATTAGAAAATTAGGAGCATTTTGATTGGAGTGATTAGGTTGATACATAGCAGTTCTATTGCAGAAGTAGGAACAGATAGTCTGGAATTTTCTGACTCCAGTTTTCACAACAAATTAAATATGTTTTTCATGCACTTCCTGTACAATTGTGATGAATGCTACACCAGAGTCCAGTCCAAGCTCTGAAAAAGCCAGAAAGTGTGTGGTGACAAAAATAGTCACATACCATGGTTCCATGGTTGCATGCTTGATTGAGAACAAGGATTCTGCATTAAGATTGTACATAGGGCAGTGTGTGGCATCTCTTACTATGTTCTTCTATGGGATCTTAACCACATTTAACTTCCATTTTCAATTAGATCTCAACACTAGGAAATAAAAATGCAAATTGTAGCTTGTGCAAAATTTGGTTTATCTCTGACTTTGATAAATCCAGCCTTGCAGCTTCCAGTCCCTGGGGTGTCCAAATACCTGTCCCTAGAAGACATTGCTCTGCATTAGAGCTCATAAACTGTTAGATCAGTGAAGTTCTGTTTTCTTTCAGGTATTGTATCATGAATCTGCACTTTTTCTCTGCCCTTAAGGCAGCTGGAGTTTTCAGGCTATCCCATTTGACTGCATCTGTGTCACAAGGCACTGGCATCAGAAACACATCTTAGCCCCGGTATCTCAAATGAATCTGGTTACAGAAAGAAGAACAAGATTACTAAAAGAACGGGTTTTAAGATTTTACTGCCAAAGAATAATGAGAAGCAAAAAAAAGGCTAAAAGCCAGGAACATGCAAACTCCTGCTGGTCAGTTTTCAGTTGATCAACTTTGGCTTTTAATAACTAGCTGCAAAGATTAATTATTGACTTCACTGTGCTACCCTACATTTCAAAGTGTCTAATGCTGTCATATAGTTGCACACTATAATACTGACTGCTAAATGCAGACTCACCTTTCTTGACCTCACACCCAGCACCGGTCAGGACTAGCAAACCTCAGCTTCAAGATTTAGGGTAAAGTACTGCCTCCTGTCAGCAGTAACCTATCACATTGCTGGGCACAAGTGAAAAGATACTAAACCAGCAATGGTTTGGTTTTCTCCTACTAACCATAAATTTAGAGCATTAACTTCATGACATCAGTGAGAGTGCTGTGTTCAAATCCTCCAGCACATATCATGGGAAATACAGACTATCAGTTTTCCATTTACTATTTTGGCAGGCATAATTTTGTTATTTTCAAGCTGTTTATATTGGCCACCTCAGTGTTTTAGTTAATTTCACACATATTTCAGCATTTCAAGAAATCTGTGCTTCAGCAGACATGGGGGATGTTGTGTGTGTTTCCCCCCCCCCAAATTTTAGAGTTTCTTTCACTGAGCATGGTATATATTAAGATTTACAAGCTTAATTTACATTTCAACAGAGCATTCACCTGTGTCCTGTCAAAGACTCCACGGGGCAGTAAATTATATATTTTAGAGAGATTATGAATTCTAATAAAAGGGCATCAGGAATGTCCAAAGGAGGTGTAGAGATGTGTAACAGCACAGTGAAGGCTGGTATGAATGAAGTGTAGATAGAAGTTCGTGAAAGCATCAGCAGGAACAGCAGAACAGAGAGTTAAAAGGAGGGACTCTTGTTAACACAGAAAACCATTCCCAGCAGAAAAATAAGGAATTGTTCTGTTTATGTCAAGGCCAAAGACCTGCACTTCGAAAACAGATGACCTGTCAGCAAAAGACCTCTCCTGAGCCTTTTCTCAGACGACTAGTCAGATGTTACCTGGGAGCTGGCTGTATTTGATCTTAGATCAAAAAAAGAGCTTAGATATTTGTTCTGGCACAATTATATGTTTATTCTTTCAAATTTAGTTTGGACTTTTGCAGAAAGTAGGAAGTCTACTGGTAACTCACCAGCCAGTTGGCTTCTGCTGTCCCCAGAGGTGACCATGAGCTGGTCTTTCTAAATGTATTGAGAATGTTACACTTGCTAATTTGCTTTGGTGTTGTGCTCACCTCTGTGTAACAGACTCCCTCAACAACTGAAGGAAAGAGGGCAGATGCTATAAGGGATTGTTGCTACTTAGAGATCAATGCCTTGCAATGCTAATCAGAGGCCTGGTAAGTGTGAAAGCTTTGAGAAACTAAGTTTGTGTTCAAACACTCAAATGTTTCATTATTGGCATTCACAAACTGGATTTTCTACCCAAGTAAGATGCCTCAAATCCAGCACAATCTCATAATTGTCTTCTCTGCAGTGCCTCTAGATTTACAGAGCTTAAGAGCAGGAATTTGCTCAGTATTTTCTTCTCTTACAGTTGATGTTAGAAGGCTTGCCAAACTTCTGCCTTCATATCTGTTTGGCACTTAAATCACAAAAAGGAGGGGGAAAGCCTGGTTTGCTAAGAACTGTATCTGCCAGACAATAAACTACGTATTTGGGGGGGGGGAAAGTGATGTGCAAAAGTGTGTTTAAACCCAATTTGCTCCCTCACACAGCTACCTACCATCTGTCACCTGGGTAGGTAACCTGAGGGGTACTCTCAGTCATGTTGGCTACCAAGAGCTGATAGAGGCAGGAGAAGACCTGACTGCAAGATGTCCAGCCTAGCCTGTAGTGATAACAAATGCTAGTCCACTGGAGGTGCTCAGGACTTCTCTGCTATATCTGATCCCTCACAGCTTATCACATGAACTTTTGACTTGCCAGGCAAGACAGGTCATAGCAGCCCAGCACAATGAATAATCCACTTTCTAGATCATCTTCAAGGATAAAGAGTCTTAATTCAGGCATTACTAAATTACAGAACTCTAAAATTACACTACTGAAGTTTAATTAAGCTGTGAAAGCAACCAAGCACCAGGTACTGACAGTAGTACAGACATGCCACAAGAACCCAGCCTCAGTTCTGCACAAGGCTGCAGCATCCATAGTAGGCAGCAAGGCAATAACCAAAAGCTCAAAGGAAAAGGTGCATGAGCTACAAATTTAGCAAGCTCTCATCCAGCTGTGTAACAGCTGTTTTGAAGACATCACAAAAGCATTTTTCTTAAAAAATAAAGAAGCTTATTGGACAAACCCTATCATCATCCCAAAAAGACCCATGAACCTGCCTGCATAAGACCATGGCCCAGGCATCACTTGCAAATGAAGTTCAGACTATCAAATCTCCAAGAATATGAGGCACATGCTGACTAAAAGGCTTGGAATGTTACTCCAGCTACAGAGGGAAGGGGTGGTATATCATCTGCTGGAAGGTACATGTTAAATACAGTTTTGGTTAACTGCTTGCAAGAGATAAATCTGAGGGAAGCTACCAAAAGACAGGCACGTCTAAGAATTGTCTTGTGAAATTTACGTGACAGTGACACAAAAACAGTCCTGGGCAGATCTTTGCCCATGAATGCCAGAATCCAGCTACATGGACAGTCATCTTTGGGAGCTGTCATAGGCAGGGACACCTTCCACCAGACCAGGTTACTCGAAGTCCCATCCAACCTGACAGATTATTTCCTTTTATATATTTTATATGGAACACATAGACGAACAGTGGAGAAGACACATACCAGTGTTTCTGACGCACTTTCCTCGTAAAAGTCCCATTTAGGAACAGAGCATTTTAAAATGCTAGCATTTCTGTGCAAAAGGAGTTCATGCTCCCTTCCAGCCCTGTATAGATGGTGAGTGTTTCTTAGATTGCGAGGTCTGCAATTATGGAATAAATGCCTTGACACTGTAACTATAAAATACCTTTAATTAGTGGGATCAGCTCCCTTCCTCTAGAAGAGGGTATGCACTACTGTCAGAAACTCTGGTTTGTTCTCACTCACCTCAGGGCAGCTGAGTTTCAGTTAACACAGAGGAAAAGTGAAAAGTCTGATAAACACTGAGAGGAGACCATATTATCTGAAAATGTGCAGTCTATCATGCAACAAGAACTAAAAAATTCCGCTTTTCTCAAGCTGTGACAATGTGGTGTCTGTGTAGGCTCTCAGTGGTATTGGTGCCTTCGTGTCTTTTTTACCTGTTCACCTGGGATGTTCCATTTCCCTCCTTCACAGGAATCATAAATGGTAGTTGTTCCTTATGCAGAAGGATTCCTTATGTCTTTGTTCTCTGTCACTACAACTTCCTAGTAAGCCTACAAACAGCTCGATAGAGGCAGCCACCACTAACCCAAGAACAGCTCTCAGGAAGAGCTTGTACCCACGGAAGCCTGTGAAAGATACGTATGTTGCAAAATACCATCTGAGTAAAAGGGAAAAAGGGGAATGGTGTTTTTGTTTCTGCCTGACAAAGCAGATCCATACCATAACTAGACAGAAAAATGCAGGAAGTGGGATGTATGAACACTTACATTTTCAACTCAAATGCCAACATTTCTGGGCATGCTGCCCCAAACAGACTGGTGTTTGAGTAGATATCAGCTCTTGGATAGATTTCTGTACTTTCAGAAGTAAAAGTGCCTCTCAGAAATGCCATTCATCTTGCCCTACTGGAACAGGGAGCCCCAGAATGATACTCACCTGTTTTTCTGCTCATGCCTTCCTATGAGGGCAAGGTGAGGGGGAGCAACCCAAGGCTCAGTCAAATTAGAGAGGGCTCTTATGCCATAGAAGCAGACATGGCTGATATACCATTTGA